CACCTCCTCTGCCCAGACCTCGCCTCCTGCGCTCCCCAGGAGGAGGCAGGCACTCGGGATGGCGCGGCACTGCTCTTCAAGATTCCCCCAGGGAAGGAAAACCTCCCCGCCTGCCCGATTTGGGTGTCGTCGGGCAAGAATCGGGAAACAAGAATACACTTTCTTAGAAATGTAGTTTCGCAGCAATAGTAGAAAACCAAGAAAAGGCAAAATGACGTTACTGCTGCCTTACCAACAACCCTGGGGCGTGCCTTTGCCTTTCTCCTGGGTGCTGCCTTCCGCCCTTCCCCACCTCAGTGCGCCTCAGCTGCTGACTTCACTAGCCCACAGACTTGCTCAAGTACTGACAGCTCTTCTCCCCCACGGCTAAGTTCATTAAAGGACACATTTGGCTAAATCAGTGAGAATTTGGTGGGCAGATGCGGTATGAGCGAGCTGTGTCAAGAGTTCTCACCTTGAAAGCTAAGCAAGGCTCTGAGATAAAGCCCAGGCTTTGGCATCATGCAGGAGAGTTTCAGTGTCCAGCACCGAACCCCACAACCTCTGACTGACACCCGCAGCCAAGAGCCTCCCACGCCTCAAACCGAGATACCCTCAGGATGAATTCGTCCCAGCGGCAGGAAACTGCTTTCTGATGGAGCAGTTCCTCAGCAGCAGCCAGTAGCCACCGCTGCCTTCGCTCACTTGGTTAGAAAGTCACCCCCAATGAAATATTCTTCCCTACGCAAATCACAAACGAGTTACACAAAAACATTTTGGTTCCCTCCCAAAATTCCTTATGCTTTTCCATAATCTTTTCCAGTCTCTGGGTACCAGCTCTCAGCACTGCCCAGGAGTGACACTTCACCCAGAGCCGACGCCACGTCCTCCACCCACTGTTCCCTTTTACACAGTCCGGGGACCCTCTTGGCAACACCTCGGGACGCCAAAGCCACCTCGAAGCGGGACCTGCCGCCGTTTCACCCGAGGCGCTGCCCGGGCCGGGCGTTTGGCTCTGCAGCTGGGGGCCGGCAGCAGGGGAGGTCGGCAGGCGAGTGGCAAGTACTCCAGTGGGACGAGGAGAGACCAGAAACAGCCTGTCTCCTATGAACTGGTGAGGTGGAGGCTGGAGCACAGGGAGAGGCTGACGAAGGGCAGAGTAATGACAGGAGCTGCAGAACTGGTGTCCCTGTTCCAGGCTTGCTGGGAGCAGTTACTGGAACGCCTGCCCCGCAGAGAACTGCGTGCCGTGCCTCCTGCCCTCACCTGACGAGCACAGGAGCACCCGGGAAGTCTCTAGTCCAGCCTCCTGCTCCGCGCAGGGTCACCTGCGGGGTTAGGACAGGCTCCTCGGGGCTTTAGCCAGGCATGTCTTGAAAACCTCGAAGGATGGAGACCAGAAAACTTCCCCAGGCAGCCTGTTCTGCTGCTTGGCCGTCCTCACTGGGGAAAAGCCCCTCTGCAAATCCAGTCCGAGCTCTCTCGTTCCTGTTCGGGCCCACTCTCTCATCCTCCTGCCACGCACTGTCAGAAGAACCTGGCTCCGTCTCCTTGATGACCTCCTCGTAGCTACCAGGGAGCTTCTGCCGCTAGGCCCTCCCCAAATCCCGTCTTCTCTGCGGCTCAGCAGCCAGCTCTCTAAGCCCCACCGCACCGGGAGGCGCCTCAGCAT